CTATGCACGAACAGCTTGTAACACTCCAAAGAGAAAGGAAAACTTGAAATTGCATCATATGACCCCTTTAAGGGAAAAGATCACATATAGCCACGGTTCAGTAGAGAATACCAAATTCAAAATTTGGTATTCAAATTAAATTTTACATTTTCATGATTTTGAAAATTTTAAAACAAATATTATGACAAAATGAATCAGAATTATTTAAGACATTGCGTACTAAGTACAGTATTACTAATCAAGTCAGCAAGTTGGTGACTGATCATGTTATGCTGGGATAAAAGCAGTTTTGTATTGTATTAAATATACCATTTATTGTAGAAAACAAAAACAAGCTAAAGAGAGTGGCTTTTTCAGAAATGAAATAATTTATTTGACATTTATTGCCAAAGCAGGAATGTCCTATAACTTTCAGGCTTGATTTAATGAACCCAGTGTAATTGAAAACACTGGCTTGTCAAAGTCAATGCAGAGCCTGGCAAAAACTCCCCAGAACCATCAGAACCAATTCTTTCATTTTACTAAATTACACATAATGCATTATAATTTGATTCTCTGAGAGATGTTTATTTCAGAGCACTGGAATTCAATGAAAGTAAGTATTCTCTAACATTCCTTCTCTCTCCCCCTCTTTCGAGCACATATATACAATCAGGGACAGAAAGAAGAGAAAATAAAATAAATGGTGACCCTTACATTCATCCAGACGCACCGGAGCACACATAAAACACAGCTAACTGAGGGGAGATCTTACCTGGCAATGTGACGCTTTCCAAGGAACCGGAAGTGTTGGAGACATAGTCTGTTCAAAAGAGAAATATGAAAACACACAAGGATTTGATTCCTTTTCTTTCTCTTTTATTCCTCCATTTATTAGACTTTATGAAAAGAGTCACTCACTCCAGGATATTGAAGAAATCGCTGATCTCCTGGTGAATGGCTCGATGCCAGTATGAAACCAGCACCTCTGCAACACGGAGAGCACATCATCCTCACAACAGTGTATTATATGTTACAGGACATTACAGATGCTATGAGATTTGAACATGTGCAATAAACATCTTCTTTCAAGGTTCAGTGATTTAAAGTCTCACCCTCTGAAATGGTCTTCATGATGTGAAGGAAACATATGAGCAGACTTCTGGTCTCCACTTGATCCAGTTTGTCAAAGCGTGCACCAAACCCAATGAGAGACTGCGGCCTGGCAAACTGAGTACAGAAATCACAATTATTCTCTTGGTATATGAGAAAAAAACATGCATTCATTCTGTTTGTCTGTTATCTTTTGTTCTGAGTTTCTGTTTTTGTTCATGTGTTATTATGTTGGCTCTATCTGTCTGGCTGTCATTCAAAAATTAATGTACTTACCTTTTCACATCCATCAATCTTCTCACTGTTGCGGTCACTGTTGCTGGGGTTCGACTCGATGCTGATGAGAGAGCCTCTGGAGTCTGCATTGTTAGCGGTTGATACGGCCAATGACGAAAAGGCTGGGGAAAAGCAAACCAGCATAAAAGCAGTCGTTGTGATATATTCCAAATATTCTGAAAGCATGATAGATTTGTGTGAGGAATAGACTATGAATAGCAGTCTATGAAACACATCCGCACACCAACACCTCTATACCTGTAATGGAGTTGAGCACTTCCTTGGAGAAGGACGCATCCATCGAGTTCCCATGGCGTAAAACATGGGTCACCTGACCTGCTAAACCTACTCCGACACTGACATCATCTCTGGAACCCTGTGAAGGAAATATTATTATTTATTGCATGGAATGGGAGAGACGTTGATGCAATTTCAGTCTAAAATAATGGGGAAGTGTTTTTTTAAATCTTGGGGTTGTGAAAATGCAGATACATTTTGAATTTTGGATATGGATTTGTGTGCATTGTTTTCCCCCAAAGTAGCTTTAAAAGTAGCAAAGTTTATAAAGTATCCTGTTTGATCACAAATTTCTTAATATCCGGACTATGTAAGTGTTTGTGTTGAAGGCTGTTGAAACAGATTCCTGCTCCTTTCCTCACTTCACTGTTATCCAGCACTTTCCAGAGACCTCGGCATTAGTGTGCATTCTCAGCATATAATATTCTACTTTGGATTAGATCTTGTATCGCTGATGTCATGTAATGCTAGATTTCTCTAAATCTGTTCCGTACATGTGCAAGTACAAGCTTGAAAACATGCACAAGCCTCAATAACAACCAACATCAGCTTTTTAAGGCAATCCTTGATCAATACCACAACATCTTTGCAGCTCTGGGACAAAGAATGTGGGCAGATGGGGTTGATGCAGAGCACAGTAGACAGAGGTGATGCACAACCTATCCGTCTGTATCCTCACTGCAAGGCCCTTGTCAAACGACAAGCTGTGGAGCAAAAAGTCCAGGAAATGGCAGAGACGACTCAAATAGTCTATGAGACGCAGTGGTCCTAGTTTGGAAAAAGGACTCTTTCTGGAGGTTTTGTGTGGAATTCCATTGCTATGATGATCCCTGGACCACACTGCTGGCTCCTGATGGTTAAGGTCCCTTGACTTCCAAAGCAGGTACTGGCAGATGGAGCTGACACCCGAGGCCAGACCAAAGAAACCAGGGGCTCTGGCAGTGACCATTGGTCTGCTGGTTAATGCAATGGACTTTAAAGTGTCTCTGCACGTCTTCTACCAGGCCATATGTCATGCTAGACTACACCATCACCCAAAGAAGTTCAGGAAACAATGTTCCTTGGACATGTGACTGGGACAGGTGGCGTGGCAACTGACCCTGAGACGAATGCAACACTGAAGAGTTGACTGGTGCCTCGTACCATTTCCGAAGTACACAGCTTCCGGGTTTGGCCTCATATTACATGCATTTAATATGGGATTTTGCTTCCATCACTAGTGATCTTCATCACACTGGCACTCCCTGAACGTCCAGTGACTATGAACAATGTTTGGGTTGGCAGTAATTCAAGCACTACTTTCAATAAGGCAAGTGCAGTTATTTTCTTTCAATGTCTTTTTATGTTGGTAGACTACTGGGCCCCAGTGCCGCTCTTACACCCCTTCCTTTAATAGTTAAGAAGGAAGCTAGGATAAAATGAAAAAATATATTATTCAAAGTAATGCTGGTGGTTTCAGAATTTGTTGTGGGTATATGGTGTGGCCTGGATGAGTGTGAGACTCCCTGTCTGAAATTTTGCTCCAGTTTGCTTTGCATTCAGTGTGGAAGGGCCTTTACATTGCTCTCAGGAATACTTGATTCTAACTGAACAATTGCAGAATCGTGCAGTCAAATATGTTTACAATCTAAATTAAAATTAACAATAAAGTATAGTAATGAAGTATTTAACATTCCTGTTGAAATTTCGGTTCCTGTTCAACTGATGTGAGTTCTTGACAAAAATATAAGAACAATGCTGTTTCACTTCATTTGATAAACGAACATCCTGAGCATGTTTACCTGGTCGCTGGCCGTCAGGCAGATTGGAAACAGATCTCTGAGGAAGAAGCGAGGCATGTTGTCAAGGATCAGACCATAAAGAGGCAGGTACAGAGAGGCTATCCGTGCCTGTTTCTCCTACACACACACAAACACAATACAGTTAAAATCAGTTCACAGACTAACATAAATGGTGCACAACAACTATATACTTTAAATGTTATCACTGTCAAAATTCACCTTTATGGCATAACGGGAGTCCAGTGAATGTTTAGCCATGAGCACACACACACACACACACACACACACACACACACACACAAACAATACAGTTAAAATCAGTTTACAATTCACAGACATAAATGGTGAACAACAAGTATATATTTTATTTAATTGCTATCATTGTCAAAATTCACCTTTATGGCATAACGGGAGTCCAATGAATGTTTAGCCATGAGGTTCTTCAGGCAGGCCAGGGCGAGGTGTCTCAGGGCTTGCTCGTCTTGCAAAGCGAGCCCCAGCTCTCGCAACAGCAGTCCTGTGAGAAAATGTTTCCTGCAGAACTCTTCCGTCAAACTATACTCTGGAAAGTCCACTGAGAGGTAAGAGAGAGAAAGAAACCACATAACTGTTGATGACTGCCCCCTTCTTGATACTCGAGCACACACTATAAGTGTAATCTACAATAAGTTGGTATAAGGTAAATGAGTATTTTGGGGAACTTCTGCTTTTACTTCTTTAAATTTTAAAGCATATCTTAATTTTTAATTCACTAAAGGTTAGTTAGCCATGGAGCATAAGTTACTATGGTGATGGACACTGGTTAAAGCTAACCAACTTTCTTCCTGCTTTAAAACTCAGGGTTGGTGCAAACTAGGGATGGGCGAGACTAGTCGACTAAACTGAACTGCACTAGTCGAAATGTAGAAATTTTAATGTTTTGCATTTGAAAAATAATACTTTTTTTTTTGAAAAGTGAATATCTGAAGTGAAAAACAAAATCATTTCCTTTCACCTCAGACATTGCACGCATGCGTTTTCTTCACTGCGGGCTCAGAGAAATGTCCACTTGGAAGACAAGTGAGGTGTGGGAGCGTATGATTTACTGGTTTAAAGCGGGAAACATTATGAATGAAAGGGAATTGACTTTCTTCAGAAAAGTGTTTCATGTTATCACCATATAATGCCTAATAAAATAGTGTTTATCAGTGCAGCACTGCTTTGTTTACAGCTGTATTTCTGCTTGTCCAAAAGCGCCACCTACTGACAGAGAGTGAATTTGCATTTACATTCATCCATCATTTTTGCAAATTTTAACCATTTGATGGTAAACAAGATCAATTCAGATAATAAGATATCTAGGATTATTTGACACTTTGATTCATAGTTCAAGTATTTCAAATAGATCGCATATAAACAACTTTTTTGACTGTATTCTAAGGGTTTCTTATTTTATACTAGTTGACAAGTCATTTACAACATTTTCATTTAAACAGCAGTGAAATTAGTCGTAGCGCACATCCCTAGTGCAAACTAATTTAAAAATGACCCTGCTAGCCACCTAAACTGGCCTTGCGGTACAGGGACCAGGTGGTGTGGAGGCAGCATCATGCAAAAGCAACCAAAATTTCAGCAACTAATACCATTCTAGAAATGCTCTATTCAAAGTGTGACAATGCATTTATTTTGTGAGTGAACATGTTCGATAATAGGGGGTTTACTGAGATAAAATAAGTATTTGATTTGTCAGGTCATCTCATCATGGCAGTACAGTGGCTACTGGATTATGACTGTACTATAAAGGAATAGTTCACCCAAAATTGAAACTGCAGAATGTTTCTTTTCAAACAAAGAATGTCAACTGGGTTTAAATGTTAAACTGAAAAAAGGATACAAAGTTAGTCTAAAATTAATCCATACAACTCCAGTGGTTTAATCCAAGTCCAAGCATTTAGTTATAGGATATGCAGAAAATTGGCTTAAATGCATATGCTATCCACTAAGCCACAGCTTTGAGGAACTGGTCAAACTTTTACAAATAAGAAAGAAAAGTTCAAAAAAAACACTTAATAGTTACCCTGAGCACTTTGGGTTTCCGGTGATGCCTTGTCTGACAGAGAGAAATGAGACAGAGAATATAAGTGGCGTGGTCTACTGGATGCTAATAGGACTAGGACGTAAGCATGAAGTTACGTGCATGAGACACACAGAGGTGGAGTTTGTGGTGCTCTCTGACCTGTGATTCGTGCAGACGGGATGGGAAGACTCAGAGGGACATAGTGCTCATAGTTACACACTTCCCTAATGAACTCAAACTTCAGCTCACACAGCGTCTGGAAAAATAACATTTGCACCCAAAACACGTTGTGCACACACAAAGTGGTTCTTTAGTGATCATCTTTGCAACAGAGAGCTTCATGAACAGAGGCGGTCAATGAATTAAACAGCCGGACAAAAACACACAGAAATGATACATAAATACATATCAGTCATAACATAGCAAAAGTTCTTCATAACTAGGATCTTTTGATGTGTGGTGTCCTTGTTTTAACGCTAAAGCCGTAATCACACTAGACTTTGAGCAAGTAAAATATCTTCTTACACTGGAATAAACAGCTCACGCTCTAGGATTTTTGTTTCCACAAACCTGTAGCTTTAAAGAGATAGTTCACCCAAACATGAAAATTTGCTGTTAATTTACTCTCCCTCAGGCCACCTGAGATGTATAGGTGACTGTATTTCTTCAATAGAACAGTAATGAAGACTTTTAGCTGAAACCGTGCTCCTTAGTGATCCATAAAATGCAAGTCAGTGGCTGCCAGTTTTTTAGAATAAAAAAGCTCATCAGGCAATGCAAAATTAATAGCCGTGCCTCCTAACGATATATTAAGGTCTTGTGAAGCTAAACGATCAGTCTGTGCAAGAAACTATTATTTACAATCCAGAGCCTCAAGCAAACAGTCCAGAGTGATGTCCAGTTTGTGAATGAATCGTTCTTTGAACAGATTCTTTTTAGTGAACTGGATGAATCAGTTCACCAAATCGGACTGAATCGTCTGAAACAGTTTGCGTCTCGAGCAACACAGATTTACACGTTACTCAATCAAAACTGACTTTCAGACGCCTGACAGTCACTCCGACTTGAAATGAGACAAAATAGCGGCGTATCTGATCCTGTGATGAATGAACTGATTCAGTGCTCCAGTTCCTCCAACAGTCACTGATCTGCATAAACAGTTCGACTCGGACCGAAGGGCCGCTGATATGTGCATTCGTGAACCAAGCACTTGAGTGAAGGGGAGAAATGAATGTTTTTCTGGTTTCTCACTGATTATGTAAAAAGGTGAGTTGATTAAGACAAGTTACTTCACTTTATATGCTTTAGACATGTAAAACATCCACATTTCACATCATTATTGGTGCTTTATTACTATAATTGCATATACATTTTGTCATTGCATGATTACATTAACTGGTGAATCAGTTATTTAAACCAATCCATTGAAACAAACCTGTCCGGAAGAATCAGCTCATGGAAAAGAATCGGATTTCTCTGTTTGCCTGAGGCTGTGGATTACAGGTAATAATGCTGTAAATAATGTTCAGTTGCGCTTCATAAGACCTCAATATATATCATCAGGAGCCACGGGTATTAAGTTTGTGTTGCCTGTACAGTATATGCTTTTTTTGACTCTCAAAGTGACGGCAGCTGTTGACTTGCATTTTATGAATCACCAAGGAACCGCGGTTTCAGCTAAAAATCTTCTTTACTGTTCTGCTGAAGAAAAAGAGTCACCTACATCTTGGGTGGCCTGAGGGTGAGCAAATTAACAGCAAATTACCCGCGACTTTTCATTTTTGTGTGGAATGTTTGTGTTGTTTGTATTGAGCCAAGAGTTGAATCTGTCATGTTCAGATCCTCTACGGGTCACACATCCTCTTGTCATACAAATTCGCTGGTCAGTGTTCACCAAACTTTTATACACAACTAGATGCAAGACTTCTTCATGAGTTTGCATTTCTGGTCTTCTGCGTCAATTTTAATAGAAATCAGAGCACAAAGTCTAGTGTTACCACACCTGAAGAGATACAGAAAAGTGAGGACGTTCAGGTACCTTATTGTCACTGGCTGTGATCATGTTTACGTAGTTACTGATCAGTTTGAAGGTGAAACCTCTGTCCATGAATGTGAAGCACCGCTGAGGATGAGAAATACATATATTTCAATTAAAATTTAAAGGGACACTGTCCAATTTCAAATGCATATGCTGTACAAAATAAATGAACCTATTGATGTAGTTGAACATTTTCTGCATCTATTTTACTTCATTTGAATCTTTGTCGTGCACACATTTAAAAGTGAAATTTTCATAATGATCTCAGCAGTGTGTTGTTCCTGACCTTCACAAAGGCCGCTATGGCCATATTAGCGCTGCGTGTCTCCTCTGCCAGCTCTTTATTCTTCCAGAAGATGTGATCAGACATCGTCATGATCAGGGTCTCCAATCGACTCTGGAAAGATCCAGGAAATCGCTGCGGTCGAGGAAGCTGAGCAAACACATTATTCATAAATTTATTTATACATTACTTATTAAACACAAGTATTAGACACAGCCTGCTGTGTTGCAAGCACTCAGGAAGCTTAATACATCTGCTTTCTGAAACATCTCTTATTTATTCAGATTTGATGGTGTTATGGCGAAAATGTTTAAAGGTAGATCACAGCTGTACTTAAAATTGTCAAGTGTAATTTTACATTTATGTCAAAAGTTTAAGTAAAATCAAACCAAGAGTTCTGAATATGTTCACACTTTAGTTTGCGGACCAGTTCTCACTATTAACTAACTATTAACTACGACTTTTGCCTCGATAAACTACTAATTTGCTGCTTATTAATAGTTAATAAGGTAGTTGTTAAGTTTAGGTATTGGGTAGAATTAAGAGATCTAGAATATGATCATGCAGAATAAGGCATTTATATGTGCTTTATATAATAAACAGCCAATATGCTAGTAATATGCATGCTAATAAGCAACTAGTAAATAGTGAGAACTGGTCTTCAAACTATAGTGTTACACTGATTATAAGTCATTATTTTAGGTTTACTGGCCACTGTTAAAATATAATAGGAGTCGATGATTTAAGCCTGAGTTCACGTCTGTTGGCTCAATATTTACCGTAAGCTTATTTGAGTCCAGCAGATGCTGCGCCATCGACTTCACTATGATCTCGAGAAAGAACCACGAGAACTGCAGGGAACCAAACAGATATCAGTCGACAGGCTTTAAAATGGTCCGTCACTTCTGTAAGAGAGAGATGCTCATGTGAGCTCACCTTCAGGATACTGCGTATGACCGACTGGTCGTTGCTCTTCAGGTCAGAGGTCATGCCCTTGGCCAACTCTTCGTGAACCGTTCTGAAGCCACATGCTTCAGTCTTAAAGACAAACTGGTTAAACAAAAGAGAAACACAAATGTGTCCCATGCTCTCGTTCACACACATAATGAATGACACGTTTCTACAAGAACTTCGCACCAGCAACTTTATTGCCCTGCTAGAGTTTGTCGACCTTTTCTTTAGTCATATGTTTGGTTATATAAAATAAACAAAAATATGCCTCCTTGTAAATCTCGTTTAGAAAGGTTTATGTAGGGGATAATGTACAGTGTACAAGCTCTTTACAGTACAGTATAATCACCGTATGCATCACTTCGGGGAACAACGGCCTTCAAACAGTAGGAATTGCTGTATATGGTGGACTTAATCATCTTTCACACATTGACTATCAAATATTTACATGCTGAATGCTGCAACAGGCCAATCAGAATCAAGTATCCTAGAGAGCCATGTAATAAATAATCTTTCATACACTTAATCAAACAGCCAAAACATATGTGCAGCTCTTTTTTTGCCAGTATAAAAAGAAAAAAATTTTAAAGTGTGTTTATAAGAGATTTGATTTTACATTTAAGACTCGAAATCTTCAAGCTGCGGAAATCTGGCTTCAACCATACATGGATACATGTGTGTGTTTTTTGAACATGCCCACACATCTACACCTATGCTTGCTTATTAGACAAGTTCAGTGTCTCGATCTAGCCATCGGCAGTAACTGAGACATGCTTGAGTGAAATGATACACTGCACACATAAGCTTGAGCCATATAATGTACCTTTATGTAAGAGTGCAAACAGTGGCCCAGGTTCTCCTCATGGCACTTAGCTAAGATGTGGACCAGGACCCTGATGAAAAAGAGGTTGAAATGAGAATCAAATCTGAAAGCGGTGTTGATTGACTGCATACAGAAGAGCGAGTGATGGGGTTGTGTACCTGGTGGTGCTGGCGGTCACTTCATCAGTGTCGTTTTGGGTGAGCACTTTGAAGAGCTGGTTGAAGATAACAGGAAGGAAGCGAATTATGACATGAATCCTCTCCATACTCAGAAGGCCCTGAAAGGGAAAAAAAAACAGTGAGTTGAAATAAAATGGACTGAATATTCACCTGAAAATGTTACATTTTCACAGACATATAGGATGCATATTAGTTAAACAATACGTACACATAATTTGAAACTTTAGAAATTTGTATTCCGATTTCACTTCAGAAGATTAAAAAATCTAGTTTAAATACAGCGTCTTCAAAATTGGATTAAAAATGTTTAGAACAGTTTGCAATAATACTCATTCATAATGGAAATGATATTCATTCATCCATAATGAATTAAAAAATATTAGTGGAAACCAATCTATCTGCTCATCATAGGCTGAAGTGTATGGCTCTGGTCGAATACATACTGTACGACATGTGATAATCATTCTTAGATTGAGAAATATTATTACATTAGAGTGTACAGTGTACTGTAATGCAGTTATATATATATACATAAATATAAATATATATATATATATATATATATATGTGTGTGTGTGACCCTGGACCACAAAAACAGTCTTAAGGGTAAATTTATCAAAATTGAGAGTTGTACATCATCTGAAAGCTGAAAAAATAAGCTTTCCATTGATGTAAGGTTTGTTAGGATAGGACAATATTTGGCTGAGATACAGCTATTTTAAATTCTGGAATCTGAGGGTGCAAAAAAATCTAAATATTGAGAAAATCATCTTTAAAGTTGTCCAAATGAAGTTCTTAGCAATGCATATTACTAATCAAAAATGTAGTTTTGATATATTAACGGTAGAAAATTTACTAAATATCTTCATGGAACATGATCTTTACTTAATATCCTAATGATTTTGGCATAAAAGAAAAATCAATCATTTTGACCCATACTGCTACATATTGCTACAAATATACCCCAGCGACTTAAGACTTTGTGCTCCAGGCTCACATATATTCCTACTGTAGTATGTATTTTGATGCTTATTCATGCCGCAATGAATATTAATATGAAAACTAATTTAAAAATGTCTATCCCTCACAGAAAACAGACAAAACAGAGAAACAGTATAAAATGGCAAAACACAATCTGTCTATGTATTTCTAAAGAAGGAAGTGTAAATTTAAGCAAATAGCATGTAAACAGTTTGGTCCTTGTCTGTAATTTGTGGATCTTCAGTAAAGCATCTTTTGCAAACAGCTACATGTCTAGATAATAAGTTGAATATGTATCGAACGGGTTGCATTTATAGGTAGAACTATGGTTCAGTTTTTGGCCCCTGGTTATCGCCCTGAATGCACTTACTTTAAGGCAGCTGAGGAAGTTTGAGGTAGGAGGTTGAGAGAGGTCTGCCTCTCGGTTTTGGCACTGCTGGAAGAAGCGGTTTAGATGGGGGTCCTGCAAAAACATGCACGGGAATTATGAGATCACAAAATATGAGCAAGATAATGGTACATTGAATGGAGATTGTGGCTCTTTTCAACCTGAGTATAAACTGTAGAAAGCACCAAAGTGGACACTTTGAAGATCGGCTTCCCCCCGTCGACCCACTTCACATCCGAGCCATTCTGCACAGAAGCATGGGGGAAAATAAATAAACAAAAAAGAAAAAAAATACTACTACTATAATGAATCATCATTTGTTGTCTTTAGGACTCCTGTTTTGGAACTTTCCATATACTGTATATGTTTTTGTATTATTATTATTATTATTTTTTACAAATACATTTCTAAGTTTTATATTTACTTATAATATTATAATGTTACAATATAATATAATATAATCCAAAAATATATTACACATACATATAGATATATATCATATTAATATATGAAATTGTTCCAATTTGTGTTCAAGTTTCATATATATGTTTTTACTTCATATGACGGTAACCCTTTACAATAAGGTTCATTAGTTAACAGTAATTAACTGTATTAGTTAACATTAACTAAGCATGAACAATACTTCTACAGCATTTATTGCTCTTAGTTAATGTTAATGCCAACATTTACTAATGCATTATTAAAATCAAAAGTTGTGTTTGTTAACATTTGTTAATGCACTGTGAATTAACATGAACTAACAATGAACAACTGTATTTTTATTAACTAACATTAACAAAGATTAATAAATACTGTAACAAATGTATTGTTCATTGTTATTTCATGTTAGTTAATACATTAACTAAAGTTTACATTAATAAGTTTACCCATATGACAATATATTTCATATATGGAAGTGCAATATATGTACATATATCACATTTGCGTATAGGGTTAAAAACAAATATAATTTTTGCATTCGCATTTGCTCCAACAGAAAAAGAAAAAATCTACAACTTTCCAAAAAATATCAAGAGTTTGGTCACACTGGCCAGAAGAGAGAAAGATGTCAAATATGCAATCAATCCCTTCAGTTGTTGTATTAGAAATTAGTTTTCTGTAATTTAATATCAATGCACATTCATTTTTTTGCTATAGATTTATGATGTTAATAACTTCATCACTGTCTGTGAAAACGGTCCACTCTGAGTTCTGGTTCATGTGACCTATAAAGCTGCCTTCGAATCACTTGCTGCCCTCTTCATCCTTACTTTACATCATCATCATCATCATCATCATACTAATATCTGTATATATCTATCTTCATGGAACATCTTTACTTAATATCCTAATGATTTTTGGCATAAAATAAAAATCTATCATTTTGACCCATACTGCTACATATTGCTACAAATATACCGTACTGTATATATCTATTTTCTTTTTCTAAACGGTCTGTTTATTTGTTTTTCTGGATTCTTGCACTCACTTTGGTGGACGAAGGCTCTTTGATGTGTAGATATCCATCAGGCAAAGTGCACGAGACTGGAATACTGAAATCCTGAGAGGAAACACGTCCATCCTTCAGAAGAGGCAGCCACGCATAGCCCACTGTAACATAAACCAACACACACACACACACACACAGTCAAAGAACGACTGCACTTCACCACACACAGCACAGGAGAACGGGGCTTGATGTGCATGCGCAGATACCTGGAGTCTCCAGAGCCTCTTTCTTCTTAGAGCTGGTCTTGGCATTGATGTCACAGGTCACATGATAGAAGGAGAAGAGTAAATGGTGTTTCTCATGAAGATGTGTGGGCAGCTCAGTCTTCACCTGATCAAACACATCACGACAAACATTAAAGTACCCATAACTTTCATCTGAATGGAACCTGTGAATGAAGCTGCTAAAGCACTTTTGCAAACCTCATCATAAAAGTCTGGGTTCTGTGAGTGATGCAGAACGGTGGAACAGGCAGTCGTGGTAAACACCGGACCTCCTGGCTTTCCATAGATGCACTGCAGAAATTGATTTACAGCATTTGTTTTCACGAGTCACATTCTAAAGCAGACGTTGATGGAAACTGATGGAAACTTGTGTTTATGTAACCTTAAGTGGCTTGGCATGTTCTTCATCAGAGCTTCTGAACTCCACGTAAACGGCAATGTTTCGAGCCTATCAAATGAAACAAGAACAGACACAGCATGACTGTACACTGCATGCTAAAGAACGAAGAGCGGAAAACCGTAAAGAATCCTTCATTAGACCTCCAGCAATTGCAGCATGTTCAGTCAGAAGTTAAAACTGAGTTTTGGTGTAAAATATTTAAGCCAGTATTGCACCAGTAAAAAACTAGTTTCAGCGTAACTATGCATAAGCTAAATATTTTCAGAAACCTCTGAGTGACGGCTGCAATAAAATAGTAGATTGATTCGATTCAATCAATAAGCTCATGTTTTTTCTGACTTGTTAGTGATCAAATCAATCTAAACGCAGCACTTCCCCTGACCGAATATGCATAATTGCATATTATATTATATTATATTAGTGGTGTTTGCTAATACAAGCAGCAGTACTACTGTACAATGGCTTATGCTTAGGGTTTTTTTTCTTTCCCACAGCCATTTTTGCAATGACACTTGTTGAGAAAACTGTCAACACAGCATGATGCATTAAGATTTTTTGATTCTCCCAACTATTAAACTCTTAAAAATTGTCACAAGTAACACTACTTTGTTTTGTCAGGTTGAATTTGTTCGTTCACTAAATGCAAAATATCTCATTAAGCCAATAAATTCACCAAGGCAATTACAGCTTATTTTCAATTAGTAACACAATAAACTGATCTATTATTTTAGTAACCATATTTTATAGGACACTGACCTAATACGATATCTTAGTTTCCAAAGGAACAATCGCCTTACAAAGGGAAGATATACGTTTTAGAAGCTTGTACATAGACCTTGACACACAAACCTCAAGAACGGTGACAGCCAAAAAATGTAAAAGGACACAACAGATAACCAACAATAATGACGAAACAACAACAGATGTTTAGAAAAAAGTCAGCAAATAGTAAAATAATAATCCTATAACAGTAACCACATCATTTATTCATGCTGTAATGCATGCTGGGATCTCTCAAATCCCTTGACATTTTGGTCACGCTTTAGTTTGGGGACCATTTCTCACTGTGAACTAACTATTAACTGTGACTTCTGCCTTAATAAACTCCTAATGCGCTGCTTATTGATAGTTAGTAAGGTAGTAGTTAAGTTTAGGTATGGGGTTTAGGATTAAGAGAATAAGACATTAATATGTGCTTTATAAGTACAAATAAACAGCAAATATGTTATAGTTAATAGTGAGAATTGGTCCCTAAACTAAAGTGTTACTGAAATTCTTAATTCAGACAGCCTTGTTTGTCTAGTTGGGACAGCATTTGGTCTGACATGGGTACGTTTACACAGATTTAAGATTGAATTCACATTTCGCAGTATTTGCGACTCGAAAGGTCCGGTGTGTATGTGACTTCCTCACCTTTGCGAAGCTCTTCTGGCTGTCATACTTGAGGTGCTTGGGGTAGATGTAGATGTGATTCTTGTAGACTCTGTAAGGCTGAGCAAACTTAGAAGAGTCCTGCAGGAACTCGTCCACCTCCACCGTCGGAGCGTGAAGACCGCAGTCCTGGAACGGCCTCAGAGCCACACACGAGGACGTCACACAGTCTGAGGAACATGTGCATGCATGCAGGTGAGTGTGACCAATAACATTCAGGAGCAAAATTGCATTTGAGGATTTGAGGACGTTTGCTGTATTAGACGTACTGGGACATTCCATGGGAACACAGTCCACGTTTATTTCAAGGTTTCCAGGGATGATCTGGAGTTTACTGGCCTTCTCTGCCCTGTAAAAAACACTTGATTTTACTGAGGTCATTTATGATCACGTGTGCTTCGTGAGCGTGACTGCAGAGTCTGTACCTCCTGTACTCTGTGATGAGCTTGATGAGGTCTTCTGTGGAAATCTTGTTGCTCTCCTGTTTGAAGAGCGGAGAGAAGCGACTTTCCCGGTCCACTGTGCCCTGGTTGTCCTTAAATACTGACCTGGATTATACAGACGGAAGAAATGTTATTAAAACCTTAAACCGCATAAACACATTTCATTACACCAAATACACAAAATGTTATTTTTAGCAGCATCATATGACCCCTTTAATAATCTTCTAATAGTGCAAGAGCTTGTTGTTGAGCATTTGTTGTGGCAAAGCTGAAGTACCAGGGAATGGATTGGGATTCACTCACCTTACAGACCAGGCAAAAGGCATTCGGTACTTTCCAAGTTTGCTACAGAATTGCTTGTTGGATTTCAGCATCTTTTGGACAGTCTGGAACAAGCAGAGAAACGGGATTTCAATGTATTTGAGGGAACAAAATGAATGAGGAAATCTCCACTTACTACAAAACTTAGATCATAGAGTTAGTATTTGTGCTTAAAGCAATATTCTGTGTATTTATCCTTTTGCCACATATAAAAATGTCTAAATGGCATTACTTTAGTGGCATTTAGTGACAACAAAAAGACATTTGCAAACAAGTGCCCCAGTGCACAAAAAAAATTATTTTCACCCGAGATATAATATTATTTGAACATGTATTTTTAATATTCTAAGACCATTAAAATGTTGTAATTAGAACATTATTTAAAGGTCACAAAAACATTTCTTACAAAGTTCTAAGAACTTTATTTTTTTTACATAATATAACATTACTTGAACGTTTATTTTTAATATTCTAAAAACATTAAAATGTTTTTTTTTTGTCATGATTAGAACGTTAATTAAGGGTTACAAAAACATTTCTCATAATTGTTTACACCTAAAATGTTATTTGTACATTTATTTTTAATAACAATATTTCTTGTTGTGATTAGAATGGCATTTCAAGGTTACTAAAACATTGTTCTGCTAATTTTATTTGTATCCAAAATATAACATTATTTTAACATTTATTTGTAATATTCTAAAATCGTTTTCTCTCAACATAAAGAACATTCATCAAGTACAAAAAGCATCTTATAAAGCGGATAGTTCCGGTGCTTGATTCTGATTGGCTGAGCCGAAGCTGTTGTAAATTACTCTACAAACATACACCTTTGTTTACGTTTGTGTGTTGCTCGACAACCACTTTGTTGGAACCACAACTGTTTCTGAGGAGCTACATTGTTTGGTGGAAGAATACTGTTTTTATTAATATCATTACACTTTATTTGCTCTGTTTTATTTTGTGAAACCTTACTACGTATATGGAATAACCGTTTTATAAAAGCAATAACCCCCGTGAAGCCGTGGTTTACAGTGAATTTATAACAGCTCCGCTTCGCGTCGTGCCTAACAACGGCCCTTAGCTGTTATAAATTCACTGAGCTTCACGGGGGTTATTGCTTTAATAAGGACCTTCTGAGAATGTTGATCTCAGAACGTTTTCTCGTTATAAGGACATCAATTGTTACAAAAAGTAAAAATAACGGCATTTAGACGTTCAAAGAATGTTGTTCTAAGAATGTTTTCTCTCAAAGTTATGAGAACATAACTAAAGTGATAAGTATGTTCCATAAACATTACTAAGAATGTTTTGTCCTAACATTTATATAATGTTAGTGAGAACGTTCCCTGTTAGCTGGGATAGCTGAAATTGCGGGATCAACTCCATATTAATATGTATTTAGAATGCAATGTCATTAAAGTTTCTGTTGGTGTCCAGCAGGTGGTCAGGTGTACATATACTTTTGTCCAAATATATATATGTGTATATATAGACACATTACATAACCTTTATGCATTTAGCAGAACTTTATTCAAACAGCAGACAATCGTTTAAATGAAATACCTTGCTGGAATCTGTGTTTTTAATGTAGGGTTCTGCACCGCTGGAAATATTTCCCATCAGCACTTTCTCCACCCGTGCCACCATCACGATGTCTGTGTGCGGGTTTGTGATGGAAAAGATCGCCTGCAGGAACGATCAACCATATAAACCACTTAAACACACAGTGACACTGGCTGTGAAAGCACATCTCCACATTCAAGGGCTCCTGCGCTGTTACCTGACTGGTGAAGTGCAGCCAGTTCTCCAGCTCTGGGCTCAACTGGCAGTCCTTGCTTTTCTTCTCTACAGGCGAGCTGAGGCCATTTTCCTGCGGAGCACCATCCGAGCCTTGATCTCCTGCACTACCAGAGCTACTGAGCATCTGCCGCACAACCTCGTGGTTTAGGTCCATGTGGAAGTCAGCGGAAACCTTCCTGCCCTCACGGATGTCCAGCAGAGAAACCGACACGAAGAAAGGCTCGATCTGAGGAGAGACAGCAGTGCTTTAGCATACGTATATGCAGATTAATAAATGATACACTACATATGGCTGAGTCTATATGTTTGAGCACCCTATTTGTCTACTAAGTTTATAAAGCTTTTTGCAGAATTGGCAGAAATGTTTGTTTTTAGTACTGGCCTACAGAAGCTACGTAAGATCTTCAAGTATTCCCCACAAGACAGAATGTATATATAT